TCGCCATGATTTTTCACAAAATAAACACACACAGGGAGTCAGCACTCAGAGCAAGAAACAGAACATCATCGGCACGGCAGAACCACCACCCCCAACACCTCTCCGTTACTATATCTTGGAGTGGGAGTAATTGACATATTGCAGTCCAGTAAATTAGGTCTAATTTAATATCTTAATCATACATAAACTATTCATTATGTAACACCCAATCTGTCAGACCGTGCCACTTTCTCTCTTCTCTGCCCTCAGCAGAAGAGCATCTGGGCATTTGGACATGGAGGACATAGGGCACAAGCATCTCATGGTCAGGGAATGGGGAGGAACATCTCAGATCAGCATTCAGAGTTCACTCTGGCCCTAGGAAAAGAATCAAGCACACCCTGCTCTCACCAGCTGCTGGTAGGTGTCACTCAGGTAATGCACAGCTGAACAGAACCCAGTTATCTCGCAACTACATTAGCTCAAATGATGCTGTGAATTTCTCCCAGTACAAGGTCATAATCCTAACCCAGATTATTCCAGGTTGGTGCTTCCTTCCCCCACCATGATAATCCTTCTGCAACATCCTTGACCATTCACACCATTATTCCTATTTCCCCTCTATAAGAACATGTGGGTTCACCCGGATCCCATTCATGTCATTTGGGAACTGAGGACAGCCTGAGGACATTCAGTGTCAAGCCCTCTCTCCTTGTGCCTTTATGACTGTGACATTTCTCCCTCCCAGGATCCCAAATGGGAAATAGGTCTTGAAAGAGATATCAGAGGCCAGGCACGGTGGCTCATGCCTGTAATCCCAGCACTTTGGGAGGCGGTGCATTACGAGATCAGGAGTTTGAGACCAGTCTGGCCAACATAGTGAAACCCTGTCTCTACTAAAAATACAAAATATTTACTGGGCTTCATGGTAGGCACCTGTAATCTCAGCTATTCAGGAGGCTGATGCAGAAGAATTGCTTGAACCGGGAGGTGGAGGTTGCAGTGAGCTGAGATTGAGCCATTGTACTCCAGCCCAAGCAACAGTGCAAGAATGTCTCAAAAAAAAAAGAAAGAAAGAAAAAGAAGAAAAGGGCTATCAGACACATGTCTGACCATACATCTCACCATTACATCTGTCTTTGGCCACTGTAGGAGCACCATTGCCCATTGCCATATTAAAAGTGGCCACATGCAGAGCCTGCCTTCCTTAGCATCCATGCAGAAGGCCCAAGGAAACAGGCTGCAGGCCCAGTAATCTGGGGCTCCTCTATACCTTTCTGGATGAACTTAACCTGCCACATTCCTGGGAATAAGAACTTCAGGAACTGACATGTTCACTCCCTCCAACATCTGCCTTCCTCCCTCTTATGACTTTGGATATATAAGTCATGCTCTTCAGGCTTCGCTCTCATCTGTATTGTATTATATCCTATCCTATCCCATAGGGCTTTTCTTCAACTGCATATCCAACCACTTCTCTCTTAGTGGTCCTAGTCAGGAGGGGTCTTCTTTGCTGTAGAAGAAAGCCTGTGATCTGAGCCTAGGGATACAACTCTTAGTCTGCTCAATGGGGCCTAAAGAACCCTTAGAAAATATTTTCTCTCAAAATAGAGGCTGACTCTCAAGATTCTTATTAAACAACAACAATTTTGCAAGTCATGTTGTTCTCTCTGGATTTCCACTGTAGCAAATCTCATCTCTCTTCATCCTCCCACCCACTGCTCTCCATTTCACCATCTTCCCAAGGAAATGGATGCTTCAGGCCGACTATGGAGAATGCCATATACTTGGAAACATAAAAGAGAAAAATGAATGTCTCAAAATATTAATCCCAACATACACAAAGTAGTAAATTGCATGAAGAGTAATTTTAGCAGTTCCCCCAATATTCCTGCATTTATGCAGAACCACATACTGTAACTAAAGAACTCTAATTTACTAGCTTCAGAAGCATTAAGATTTGGAAAAAAAGAAAAAGAAAAAAGAAAAAGACAGCAGACATTCCTGTGTATATATACAATCCTTTATAATTTAAAGATGCTTTCAATAAATTATCTCATTTGATCCTCACAAAGTAAGTTTTGCTGTCTTCATTTGGAGGCTGACAAAGGCTAAACTATTTGCCACCAGCATATAGTGATACGATTAGCTCAAAAAAGAATCTTTTATTTTGAAACACACTTTTCATGTAACTCTGAAGGTAAAAACTGAAACTAGGAGTTTGGGCTAGACTCACAGCTTTGAGAAGAACCTTCTTCATGAACCATTTTCATCATGAGATGTAAACCAAATAGCAGTCCATTATCCTTTGGGACACTCTGAACATTGTCAAAAGTCTCTAAATTCAAATGCATCAGAATGTTCTTAAAATGTGTGCGGCATGGTTGTGGGAGGTGCATCCTTCAAGAGTTTAATAGCACAAAGTAATGTTTTCCTTCCTCGGGCAATAACCAGAGGCAGGACTTGGGAGTCTTTCTCTGGAGAACACAAAAACTTGGACTCTTTTTGGGACACAAGCATGAGCCCCAGCAGGTTTTCAGTGTTCTAGAAGCTGTGTCCATAAAGAAATCAAGGATAAATGGCACCTCATAAATTCTTTTAACAAAGAGAAGCTGGGATTGTATCTGTGAGCTTCTGTTTTATGCATTGTACTTACATTCCTTATCGTCAAATATCAGCAGTGTGTAATTCACAGCCATTTTGGAAGTTAAGCTTGAAGGAATCATCTTTGTTCATATCCTTTGGCAAAACAGACCAGAGACAATAATTATGGTGTGAAAAGGAGGTCAGAAGGGCCGGGAGCAGTGGCTCACACCTGTAATCTCAGCATTTTGGGAGGCCAAGGTAGGCAGATCCCTTGAGGCCAGGGGTTCTAGACCAGCCTGCCCAGTATGGTGAAACCCTGGCTCTCCTAAAAATACAAAAATTAGCTGGTGAGGTGGTGTATGCCTGTAATCCCAGCTACTCAGGAAGCTGAGGGAGGAGAATTGCTTAAACCTGGGAGGTGGAGGTTACAGTGGGCCAAGATCACACTACTGCACTCCAGCCTGGGTGATGAGAATCTATCTAAAAAAAATAAAAGGAAGGGTCACAGACCTGAAAAAGGAGATGGATGGTGCCTCAGTCTGGAGTATGATGTATTGAGAGCACAGATGGCACATGGAACATTCTAGCACTCCTCAGGCAGGGTTCTCAGAATACCTGCTGACATCACAGAGGGATCAGATTGTAGATCAGTGGACAGCAGAGGAAAGGGGACCTTGTCTATGCCATGTGAATTAGCCAAAAATAACTTTTTAAATCTGTAATTACATAGCATCTTCCTCACAGACAGCCTTTAAAGGACAGCATCATATTGTCCAAAATAAGTGGGATTTCATGTCTTTCTTCTGTTCGCAGGCTGCCTGTTTTGCCAGTCTGACAAATAATTTCTTAGTGAAGTGCTTATTTCAGACTGAACCACAAGATGTCAGCCAAAGCTTGGTCATTTTGAATTTTCCTGGCTCTTGAAACAACTACATTTTTTCACTTTTATGACCAAGAGAAAGTTTGAGAAGCTCATGACCCCTCATAATTAGATGCAGCAGCCACAGCAGATGCTTGTCCTGGGAGCTCTTCATGCCTGTTCCCAGCCTTCTTCAGTGGAGACTTCACAAGGTAACTCAAAACTGGCTCCTTTCTGTGACATCATCCAGGAAACTGCACTCCAAATGTGGGTGTGCACAGATCTCCACCACTGGTCCTTGCTCTCTCCTGTCTTTTTTCCTCCTCCTCAGCTATGCTCTGGGGCAGTTGAGTAATCCTGCGTGCCTTGGGAGATGACCATTCAGGAATGAGATCCTACCTTTCCTTTTCCCAGGCACCCCCAACCTTATAAGGGATTCCCATCACCTGGCTTTACAGAGAAGAAGGCATCTTTGTCATGAACTCTTGCTTTATCAGGTTGAAACTCATACTTCCTGTGAATCCCCCACTTCTCTCAATTCTTTCACACGCTGGGGAGGGGACTGCAGAGACCTATGGGGATAGTACCGAGATGTGTCTCCTCTTGGCTAGCCCATGGGAGGGACTGGACTCAATGGTTTGCAACCCTTTTTAGAAGGTTGGCATTTAACTCACTTTATCCTTAGGTTTAGTTCATTGATGCCTAGGTGGAGCCATGGTGCATGTCCTCCTCAACATCTTTTACATTTTACACTGATAACAGTTATTAAAAAGAGCTTCACGTTTGGCTGGTGGATCAGTGTGCAGTACTTAAGAAAAGAGAAAAACTCTAACCTATTTTGAGTACTTACTCTTTCATCTAGTTGTCATAATAAGACAGTGAAGTTGTTATCACCTTCGCTTGATAAATGAGGAAAATTTGAGCTCAGAAAGTATTCAGTAACCTGTTGAGGGTCTTAAGAGTTAGTGAGTGGGACAGAAACACAGATCTGATTCTAGAGCCCTTTTTCTTTCACTCTTTCCTTTTGAAAAAAAAAATACCTTTACTCCTTCGGCATTTGTTACAAAGTGGTATCTAGTAAGTGGTCCTGAAAGCTTTCTAAATAACTAGTTTAAAATAATCTCTGAAAATTTATATGAACAAAAACCTTCCTTGAAACAGTATAGACTCTGTCTTTCAGTAGGCTACTAGACTCTCAAATCACCCATTTCAATCATTTAGAGCTGCCATTGCCTTTGGCCTCCTGGTTTAAACTAGTCTGAATTGGAAATACAGGCAGCTATTAGTAGGGATAAAGACAGTGAATGTCCAGGACAGAGCTGAGATGCATTTCTAGGTTTGAATGGAATCAGTAATAAAAGTCCAAAGTAAATGATTCACCATTCACTCTTCAATGATGGATGTAATGTATTATTTTTTCTTTTTTTAAAAAAACAAATTTAAAAAAAAATTATTTTAGGTTCGGGGTACATGTGCAGGTTTGTTATATAGGTAAATTTTTGTTATGGGGGTTTATTGTACAGGTTATTTCTTAACCCAAGTATTAAGCCTAGTACCCAACAGTTAGATCTTTCTCTTCCTCTCCCTCTTCCAACTCTTCACCCTCAGGTAGGCCTCAGTGCCTGTTGTTCTCCTCTTTGTGTCCATGTGTTATCATTTAGCTCTCTCAATTTTACATGAGAACATGCAGAATTTGGTTTCTATTCCTATGTTAGTTTGCTAAGGATAATGGCCTCCAGCTCCATCCATGTTCCTATGAAGGACATGACCTCATTCTTCTTTATGAATGAGGACATATGAATGAGTGTCAGACACACTGGAAAACTGACCCGTGTGTCTGACAGATGGTGAGTCCTTTGCTGTACATGGCCCTCAGAAAAATGACACAATTCTTTCACTTACACCAAAGTAAGCAAATGCTGAAAGAGCTTATAATGAAACATCACATTCCCCAATCTGGACTTAGCAACTCCACTGGCCAACCTTGTTATTATTTCTGATTTTAATTCTACTGGTGGCTATTTTCCACCTGTTTTTAAAACTCTTTCTGGGTATCGACTTTGGACAATATTTATTGGCATCTCAGTATGAGAGGTGAGCTTGGCAGGCCACGAACTCCCAGGCTCTGGTGTAAATGACCACATGATCACACCAGCTACTGCAGTGACAGTCACGCAGAGGGGCTTTCCATTCTTAGTAGACCTGGGGTAAAAGAGATCCTTCCAAGAGCTCTCACCTAACTCTGGGAACACAGAAGCATCCATTAGAAGGCCTGTGGTCACAAAGCCTTCAGGATAGATACAGGCTCTTTCCTTTACTTTACAAAGCCCCAGAAAGGCTGGCACTAACATGGCATGTCATTGCCGCACTTTGAGGGCAGGAACTGGCTCCTGCTCCAGTTTGCATCCTCTGCACCCAGCACCTGGCCGATTTGCTCCATGCAGGATGAGCAGGTAGCTTCAGGCTGTCCACCCAACTGTCACAAAGGGTGGGGGTGCAGAGAGCATGAGCAGCCAAGATGAAGTCCTCACAGGCTTCTTTGATTCTACTATGTAAGATATTCTCAATGCCTGAGGGATGAACAGCAAACAAAACGTCCTCTATCCATACAATGGGGACAGTAATCAGCCCTAAGAAGGAGGGAAATTCTGATGCATGCTACAACAGACGGGGCTTGAAGACATCATGCCAAGTGAAAGCAAGCCACTTGCAAAAAGACAAATGACTATCATTCCACTCAGATGTGGCACCTAGAGTCGTCAAACTCACAGAGACAGAAAGTAGAGGCAGGGCGCGGTGGCTCAAGCCTGTAATCCCAGCACTTTGGGAGGCTGAGGCGGGTAGATTGACTGAGGTCAGGAGTTTGAGACTAGCCTAACCAACACAGTGAAACCCCATCTCTACTAAAAATACAAAAAATTAGCCCAGTGTGGTTGCAGGCGCCTGTAATCCCAGCTACTCGGGAGGCTGAGGCAGGACAATCACTTAAACCCAGAAGCTGGAGATTGCCATGAGCTGAGATGGCACCATTGCACTCCAGTCTGGGCAACAAGAGCGAGACTCCGTCTCAAAAAAACATAAAGACAGACAGTAGAATGGTGGATGCTAGGGGGAGATGGAAGAAAGAGCTTCACCTCCTTCCAGCATCCCTTCCACCCCACCTCTACTGCTCACACACACTCACACCCCATGGGACTCAGCCTGTAGCTTCTCCCAGCCCAGGAACCCAGGAGCTAGACAGTGGGGAGACGCACAGACCTCCCTTCCTCACAAATGAGGGAAGACTCAGTGCCCCATCACTAGTGCCATCACCCAGTCCCGGCCCAGCCATGAAGCCCACTCCAAGGGCCCCCCTGCCAGTGCTGCTAGCACCCACCAAGGGAGAGCTGCTGGCACACAGCCACAAGTCCAGCTTTATCCACTCACGCCCTGGACACTGCCTGGAGCCCCAGCAGGTTTCATGTCCATGTCACCCCAGCCCTCCTGCCCAAGAAATCCTAAGTTCAGGAGACCCTCTCCAGCCCAGGTTGCAGGGAAAGGCAGCCCCCAAGGTCACCTAGGAGTGAGTGCAGAGGGAAGGGCATTCTGGATGCTTCGGACTTGGAAACACAGATTCTGTCTCCTACATAGTGGCCACACCTCCTGGGAGGAGAAACCCCTGCCTCATCACAATGCAGAGACCCTGACAGAGGCCTGAGAAAAAGCCACCTGCAGGCTCCAGGCACCTACCAAGCTGCACCTTAGGGAAACCTGTCCCGCTTCAACCAACCTGCAGAGCTCTCAGGCCCTAATTCGTAAAACCTCTGTCCTTTCTCAAAGAGGTCAGAAAATAGAAAAAGAAAAAAACAAAACAAAACAAAAAACGAACGACAACAACAAAAAGAGGCAAAGGAGGTTGAAGAGGCCAAAGGCAGTTTAGCACCCCCCCCGCCCCCGCCCCAAAAAAAGTGCCAGACACCTGATGCGGAGTTTGGGGTGCTTGATCCTCTGCATGCCCATTTAGGAGCTGACTGTGCTCAACCAATATTTACCTCTGGTCCCTGTCAGGTCTTATTTAAACAGATGTGAAAAAATAAGCCTTCCTCCTTCCAATAAATACTAAGTTAACACTGGCAGGTTCCTCTAAGGCTCTGCTCTTCACTGGGGTCCCGCAGGGCAGGCCCATCGCAGGCGTCCTCACCCTCATCCTCTCTCCATATCTGGCCAGGAAAAAATGTTCACCCAGGCCTGGGCATACCGAGGCCCAACTGCCCGGTCCATAGAGTCCTGCTTCGCGACCAGGGGCCTCAATGTTCTCCTTCACCATCTAAGGCCAGACCTCCCGCCAGCAGCCTTGCCAGGCAGTTCCTGCTGTGGGGAAGGGGCGCCCCCAACCTGCAGCCTGGCAGCCCAGGAGCAACGGGGTGTTTGAGAAGTTTTTCCCTCGGGGCCTTGTTATAAAGGGAAAGGGGAGGGGGTGAAGATCTGGGCTCAAGTCCCTCGGGGGCAGTAAACCCATAGGCGACCCCAATCCAGTTGCCGCCGAGGACCAGCACTTCATGCCAGCGCCAAGCGGGGCCATGGAATGTACCAGCTGCCCGGCCAGTCTGGTGGGACCTGAGAGGGCGCCTGGGCACCCCCAGACAGTGCCTCTTGCTGGCGCCTGGTGGCCTTTTGCTGCGGTGCCCCCTGCCCAGGATGTGAGAGCCGCCTCCCGGTCCCTGCTGCATCCACCCACTGGCCGTGGGAGGGGGAAGGGGCCGCCAGGCTGTACCCCCAGATCCCAGCAATGGTTGCCCCGCAGCCCCACGCCCCCGCTGAGACCAGAGGGGAAGGCTCGGAGCGCTCTGGCCGCAGGTTCAGCACCACTCCATCTCGTCTGGGTACGCACGCGTCTACCCCGCGGGTAGAGCCAGCAAGTCAGATAGCCTGGGCCCAGCTCACCTGGACAGGGCGTGGGGCTGTTCCAGTGTTCTGCCTAAGACGCCAGCCGCCGCTCGCTCAGTCTGGGAAGCCTAGCTCCTGACGAAACCGCGCAGAATCACACACTGCAACTAATAATGGCCCAACAACTGCTAAGGAGCTCCCAGGCTAAAGGGTAGCGTGGCAAGCCCACAGGGCCTCCTCTACCGGGTGCACGCACACTCACCTGCCGCCCCTGACCCCTCTGCTTCCCCTCACCAGAGGCACTCATTCACCTCTTTAATCATTGGAGCTGGAAAAGCTTCCCAGAAACAATGAGCGGCGGGGAGAGAGGGAAGATAAAGCTGTGACAGCGCCGAGTGTGTGGGAGGCCCTGTTCCCCCTGGCCCTGGCGCTGGGACAGTCATCAGAGCTGGCAGGTGCGCCCGGGACCGGTCGTTGAGCTGGTCTCCGGAACCAGGGCTGGAGCCCTGAAAGGCGTGGCGCCCGGAATACCCCACCTGTAATCCAGTACTTCTGGAGGCCAATCCCAGCACTGTGGGGAACCCATTAAATGGGTTTAAAAAATTAACAAAAAGGCCAGCGCAATGGCTCACGCCTGTAATCCCAGCACTTTGGGAGGCCAAGGTGGGCAGATCACAAGGTCAAGAGATTGAGACCATCCTGGCCTACATAGTGAAACCCTGTCTCTATTAAAATACAAAAATTAGCCAGGCATGGTGGCACACGCTTGTAGTCCCAGCTACTCAGGAGGCTGAGGCAGAATTGCTTGAACCTGGGAGGTGGAGGTTGGCAGTGAGCAGAGATTGCGCCACTGCACTCCAGCCTGGCGCCCAGTGACATACCAACTGCTTCTCAAAAAGAAGTAGGATCAGGCGCAGTGGCTCATGCTGGGTGTGGTTGCAGGTGCCTGCAGCCCCAGCTACTGGGGAGGCTGAGGCAGGAGAATTGCTTGAGCCGGGAGGCTGAGGTTGCAGTGAGCCAAGATCTCGCCATTGCACTCCAGCCCAGATGACAGATTGAGACTCCGTCTCAAAAAAACAAGCAAAAAAACAAGACAAGAGACACAAACTCTAACTGCAGACCTTAACAATATTAAAAGGATAAATGAGGCCAGGCACGGTGGCTCATGCCTGTAATCCCAGCACTTTGGGAGGCCTATGCCGGTGGATCAGGAGGTCCGGAGATTGAGACCATCCTGGCCAACACGGTGAAGCCCTGTCTCTACTAAAAACACAAAAAATTAGCTGGGTGTGGTGATGCACACCTGTAGTCCCAGCTACTCGGCAGGAGGCTGAGGCAGGAGAATCGCTGGAACCTGGTAGGTGGAGGTTGCAGTGAGCTGAGATTGTACCACTGCACTCCAGCTTGGCGACAGAATGAGACTCCATCTCAAAAAAAAAAAAAGATAAATATTAGAACAACTTTGAAATTTGAGATAAAGTGAACAAATTCATTCAGCAAACACAGCTTAGCAAAATGAATAGTCATATATGTGTAATTGAACCTGTAATTAAAAACCTTATAAAGAAAACTAGTCTCACATGGCCTATTAAGTGAATTCTTTCCAAATGCTTAAGGAAGAAATAGCACGCATCTTACATAAACTGTCAGAAATAGGAGAAGAAACAGTTTCCAAATTCTTTAACCAGCATAGCCTTAATATTTCATATTGAAACCTAACAGGTCATCACCAGAAAGGAAACTTACACTCCACTTCCTCTTGTGAACGTGTAAGTACAAAACTACCAAATGAACTATGAGCAAACCCATTTCAACCACATATAAAATGGGGTTGATCATACATCACAACCAAGTTGACTGAATTCCAGAAATGCAATGTTAGTTAACATTCAAAAGCCAATCACTGTAAGCTACAACGTAGAAAGATAAGAAAAAAAATGCTCAATCATCAAAGAGAAAAGCAATTGATAAAATTCAGTACCCATTCATAAATTTGAAAACGAGCTAGCAGAGAGGAAGCAACATTCCCAGTTAAACACTCCTGCAGTTGAGAATAGTGACACAACTTATTTGCAGCTGAAAGATAAAAACTGAAGTAAAATCTTAAAACTTTTGAGAAATCTATGGTTTTCAGCTAAAAAGAGACAGACTCGGCCTTTGAACCTTCCCTCTTTCCCTTCCAGGAAGGCAATCCAAGGCCTGGAAAAACAGCAGCCACATTGTAACCACAAGAACAAACACTCCATGGCTAAGGAAGTGCCAGGAAGCTGACAAGAGCCTTGCACTGCCTTCCTCTGAACATTCGTTTTTGAGACACAGTCTGGCTCTGTCGCCCAGGCTGGAGTGCAGTAGTGCAACCCTGGCTTACTGCAACCTCTGCCTCCCAGGTTCAAGCATTTCTCCTGCCTCAGCCTCCAGAGTAGCTGGGACTACAAGCATGTGCCACCATGCCTGGCTAATTTTTTGTATTTTTAGTAGAGATGGGGTTTCACCATGTTAGTCAGGATGGTCTCGATCTCCTGACTCATCTGCCTGCCTCCACCTCCCAAAGTTCTGGGATTACAGGCATGAGCCACCGTGCCAGGCCTTCTCTGCACAAAATGAACCTATTACTTCATTTTTCCCCACTGCCAATCACCTCCCTCCACATCTTAGAACATCACACTCCCTAACCTAGAAACAACCCCCAGCCTTATTGCCGGGGAGGTGGATTTGAGAGCTGTTTTCCTGCCTCTTCCTCTGGGTGCCTTGTGAATCCATCTTTTTTCTTTTGCAAAACCCATGTCACAATGATGGACTTGCTGTGCACAGGCAGAACGGACCTAGACCTGGCCAGTGACACTGCAGATGGCCATGGCTACCTTTCCTTCCACCTTCTACATCACATATAAAGGCCCCTTTTGGCCAACTCTTCCTCTGGGAAGCCCCTCCTCAAGAGGCACCAGAACTGATGGGGAAGCCAGAGGAAGGTCAGGATGGTGGTGAAAAGCCAGGAATGTGGAGGCTGACTTCTGCTCAGCTTTGCTCCCTTGCTTAGAGAGACTGGAGCCCAGGGCATCAACCACAGGCATCAGGACAAATCCTGGACCAAGGAAAACAGAGCTGGATGAATCCTTGGAGACCATGAGATCCACCTTCTCACTCTGTAGACCGGGAAATTGGGCTCTGACTCCTGCTGTGAATTTCGGCAGGTTCCAGGTCACTACCTCTGTCCTCTGTGGCCAGCACCATCACAGCCTGGGCCTCATTGGGCTCACCCACTGCCAAGCAACTGCAAAAAGGGCACGCGGCAGTCATGGGCAAAGCCCAGGCCAGGAGGTCAACCTGTCTGGCCTGTGGACAATTGCTCAGCCTGCAACTGGTGCCTGGCTAGACCAGACACGGGGCTGGGTGCACAGCAGGGAGGGAGCCTGCACATCTCCACAGCCATCTTCCTGGGCACACTTACCAAAAGGCACTCCTTAAAACAAAATAAAATATATTATCAAATATTCCAGGGCAGGTGCAGTGGCTTACGCCTATAACCCCATCACTTTGGGAGGCTGCGACAGGTGGATCACTTGAGGTCAGGAGTTCAAGACCAGTCTGGTCAACACGGTGAAACCCCTGTCTCTACTAAAAACACAAAAATTACCCCGGCATGGTTGCATGTGCCTGTCAACCCGGCTACTCTGGAGGCTAAGGTGGGAGAATCACTTGAACTCCAGAGGTGGAGGTTGCAGTGAGTCAAGGGTGACTGAGCAAGACTCGATCTCAAGAATAAATAAATAAATAAATAAATATTTCAAACATACGTAAATCTGTAGGAGCCCATATGCCAAACACCTGGGTACCACTCTCTGGGGTTATCAGAACATACTCATATGTAGTGATACTTGCTTCAGACTTTTTCTTGTTTCATGAACTAAAGCAAACTTATATGTTAAATAAAGCCCCTAGAACCTCCCCACACAGGCTTATTCTGCTACCAGTCCCTAGAGGTACCCACTCCTCTGAATTTAGAATTCATCACTCCTGTGCAATATTTTATAGTTCTGCTACTTATGTGGATGTCTTTAAACATATTTTTAAATGTTAGCTAACATGGGTATGTCCTATTTGTTATATACGATATGTGACTTGTACATATTATTCAAAACTTATATTTTTTGGTTAATTTTTTTTTTGACAGAGTCTCGCTTTGTCTCAGGCTGCAGTGCAATGGCACTACCTGCTCACTGCAACCTCTGACTCCCTGGTTCAAGCGATTCTTCTGCCTCAGCCTCTCGAGTAGCTGGGATTACAGGCACGTACCACCATGCCCGGCTAATTTTTGTATTTTTAGTAGAGACGGAGTTTCATCACGTTGGCCAGGATGGTCTCCATCTCTTAACCTTGTGATCCACCTGCCTTAACCTCCCAAAGTGCTAGGATTACTAGCATGAGCCACTGCACCTGACCTCTCCTTGTCATTTCTATGTCCAATTCCCTCATTCCTATTGATGCTAAACCTCTTGCTCTTTTTGCAGATTAGACCATTCAAGTTTCCTTTTCTTTTTTTTTTTTTTTTTTCAAAATGGAATCTTGCTCTCCTTCCCAGGCTGGCACATGGTGGCACAATCTCGGCTCACTGCAACCTCCGCCTCCTGGGTTCAGACGATTCTCACGGCTCAGCATCTCGAGTACCTGGGACTATGGGCACGTGCCATCATGACCAGCTAATTTTTGTTTTTAATAGAGATGAGGTTTCACCATGGTGGCCAGGCTAGTTTCAAACTCCTGACAACCTCAGGTGATCTGCCCACCTTGGCCTACCAAAGTGCGGGGATCACAGGCATGAACGACTGTGCCTGGCCAAGTTAACTTTTCTATGAATTACGTATTCATGTTGTTTGCCCACTTTTCTTTTGGTTGGCTGACTTTTAAAAATATTAGTTTATAAGAATTCCTTAAATATTCTACATATGTATCCTTTGTTGATTATATGAATTGCAAATACCTTCTCCTGATCTACAGTTTCTCTTTGTTTGCAGTATGTTTGGTTGAATAGAAGTCTTAATACTTGGGCAAAATCAAATCTATCACCATTTTTCTTTTGAGCTTATGCTTTTAATATTTTTTGCTTTGGAGACAGAGTCTCACTTTCCTGCCCAGGCAGGAGTGCAGTGGCTCAATCACAACTCACTGCAGCCTCAAATTCCTGGCCTCCAGTGATCCTCTCTCCTTAGCCTCCTGAGTAGCCAGGACTACAGGCATGCAGCGGACCAACCAGCTAATTCTGTGTGTGTGTGTGTGTGTGTATGTATATAGATATACATATACATATATACACATAAATGTATGTATTTGTGTGTATATATATATATAAACGTGTATATATACACATATACATACATATACATATATATGTGTGTGTATACACACACACACACACACACAAAATTAGCTGGTATATATATACACACACACACGTGTGTGTGTGTGTGTGTGTGTGTGTGTGTGTGTGTGTGTGTGTGTAGAGACAGGGTCTTGTTATGTTACCCTGGCTGGTCTGGAAGTCCTGGGCTCAAGCAATCCTCCTGCTTTAGCCTCCCAAAGTGCTGGGATTACAGGCGTGAACCACCACACCCCACCACTTTCAGTACTTTAAGAAATTACTTTCTATGTACTACGGACTGACTGTGTCCCTTCAAAATTTACATGTTGAAACCTAGCCTCCAATGTAATGTGTTAGGTGTTAGGAGGTGAGGCCCTTGTGAGGTCATTAGGTCAGGAGGGTGGAGCTCTCATGATGGATCAGCACCTCTGTAAGAAGAGATGCAGAGCCAGGTTCCTTGCTCTCAGGCCCCTCTGCTCCCTCCTCTGGGACAGGAGAGTCCTACCTGCTCGTGGGGCCACTTCAGCCTCTCCTCTGGGGTCCTAGTCTTGGGCTTGAAGCCTCTCTGGGGGTCTTCACGGTGCTTGACCTCAGGAGGGAAGTTCAGTGACTTGGGTTTCGCTTCGTGCCTGCTGGGGCTGCAGCTGGCCTTGCTGGGCAGGCAGGCCTCTGTGGAGTCCCCAGATGCAGTCTCAGGCCCATGCTGGCCTCACTGGCACTGGTGATGCTAGTCACGCTCAGGTTCCTCTTGATCTTGGCCACGATTGGGTCAATGTCCTCCTCCTAGTCCTCCATGTCCCCGTCCCCATGCCTCAGGTGGTAGTGGGAGGCACCAGTGTTCCTGTTGGCCTCTGTGGGGTAGCAGTCCTGGTAGCCCTCTTTGCTGAGACAGTAGTGGCCATCTTCTTCCTGTTCGTGGGCCTCCAGGACAGAGGGCTCGTCCTCCAGATTGGGCAGGTGGCCTTCCGGGTAGTCCTGGCTGCCCTCAGCACAGTGACCATGGGGGTGCAGGCCCACCGAGTCTAGCCACTCCTCTCCTGTCCCAGAGTAGGATTCTCCTGTCCCAGGGAAGGCAGCAGAGGGGCCTGAGAGGAAGGGACCTCCTGGTACAGCCCCCACAGATGCTGAAGCAAAGCGGTGGGAGGGGCTGGGTGCCTTGCAGTTCTAATGGGAGCAGAGCTCTTCACTGGTCCAGTTAAGAGGCATGTTGTGTGGATGCCCCTGGCATGTGTTGGTGTCCCTGGGGTGAGTGCCATGGACCAGATACTCATCCCCACTGCAGCCCATGCCCTCCAGGTAGCTGTCGTCCTCGGGCAGTAGCAGATGTAGCAGGTGATGCCCTCCTCCTTCTCCGGGAGGCCTTCATCATAGTATTCCTCCTCAGAGACATTGTTCACTTAGAGTTGGAGTCCCCATCAGGGCTGTGGTTTTGGCACTCCTACTCCTCAGGCATGGGGCTCTCTGGCCATAGGGTGGCCAGTTCCAGGCCTTTGGGCACACAGTCCTCCAAGGGCAGATCCATGTCTTCTCTCCTGGCCGTGGGGGACAGGGATGGGGCCCAGCCTCACCCTGTGGTCCAACATGCCGCTCCTCTCACTCTCACACTTCTAGTGGGCCGCGGGAGACACTCTCGTAGCCATCTCCTAGAGGCAGCCACTGTGGGAGGAACACTCACTGGGAAGGACAGAGTCAGAACCTCACAAAGCCTGGTCACACACGAGGCCACTCCACCCGCATGGCGCCTCCAACCACGTTTTCCCATAGCAATACGAAACAACAGCTGAAGATTTTCACTGCAGCAATCTTTTAAAAAACTGGAAATGACCTAAGTACCCATAAATAAAAGAATGGTTAAATAAATGATAGCAGAGTTTGTGTGCTGCAAGAGTCGACGGCGTTTTCAAAGAGGCAGGGCAACACGCACTACAGTGAAGGATCTTAAAGGCCTGTTTTGGAGGGAAAATGTCAAGTAAGCTACAGTCAGCGCACATGTGTAGATCCCAGTTCCAGCTTCGTCAAGATGACTAGAGAATATATACACACTCCCCAGCCCATACATGGACACAAAGGCACACAGAAATGGGAAGCTCCCCAAAGGCTTGTCAGCCATGTCCTCTGGGGAGGGGAGGAAAGAGGTGGGAGCAGAGAGGGCTTGCACAGTTTACTTTATTAAAGATGTTTGTACTGTTTGAGTCTTTTACCAAATCGCATTTTATTATTCACCAGCATTATAATCAAACCTATCTGTGCACCTTTCAGGGTCTCCTCCTCTAGCTGGGGAGACATCAGCACTGAGACAAAACAACCCATGGGGAAGGGCAGACACCGAGGGGAGGAAGCAGGATTTCCCACACCAGCCGCCACTCTGGGCGTCATGAGAGGTGGCAAACAGGCCAGTCTCCTCCAGGAAGGTGGCCACAGGGGGAGAGGGGCCAGCCTCCCAGGCGATCAGGACATGGGCATGCCCCATGGCACAGCCAGAGACACCAGAAACACAGGAGGCAGCGCTGACCCAAAGGAGGGCGGGACCAGGGGATGTGCTGGCCAGGATAGCTGTGGCCTCGCAGATGGGCAGTATAAATTTTGGAAAAACTAAATCATTCCATTTCATTCAATGAGTAGCTTGTGTGGCAAGGGCTGTGTGGTATGTGCATGAGATACGTATGTGTGGTGTGGGTAGAAAGTGTGTAGTGTGTGGTGGGTGTGTGTGTGTGTGTGTGTGTGTGTGTGTGTGTGCCTGGTGGCAGGGCATCCTTGAGGTATGGTAAGTGTGTGCAGTATACTGTATATGGTGTGTGGTATGTGGTGTCTGTGATGTGTGTATGGCATGTGTGGAGCGTGATGTGTGGAAGGGTTGAGTGTGTATGTATGTTTTATGTGCATGGTATAGTGTTTGTGGTGTGTGGTATGTATAGGGTGTGTGTAACTGGTCGTATGTGGTGTAGTATATGTGGTACGTATGGGGGTGTGTGGTATACATGAGTGTGTATGGTGTATGTATGATATTGTGTGGTGTGTGTGGTATCTGTGTAGTGTGAGTAAGTTGTCTGTGTGGAAGGTGGTGCATTGTATGGGTGAAGTAATACGTATGTGCAGTGTGGTGTGCTGTGTGTGGTGTTTATGAAGCATGTGACGTGTGTGGCATGTATGGGGTGTGTGGGTGTATACAAAATGTTTATGGTGTATATGTATGGTATGTGGTATATGTGGTGTGTGTGTGGTGTGTAGGGGGCATGTGTGTGGTGTGTAGTATGTGTGGAGAGTGCATGGTGTATATGAAGTATGTGTCTGGTGTATGTGTGGTGTACATGGGTTAAGTGTGTGGTGTGTGTGAGGTGGGCATGGTGTATATGTGGTTTGTGGTGTGTGAGGTGGGTATGATATGCATGTTGTGTGTGGTATGTATGGGGTATGTGTGTGAGGTGGGTATGATACGTGTAGAGTGTGTGTAAGGCGCATATCATATGTGTGTGGTCTGTGATGTACATGAGTTAAATGTTTGGTGTGTGTGAGGTGGGCATGGCAGATATGTGGTGTATGACGTGGGTATGATATGTGTGCGGTGCCTCTGGGGTGTGTGTGGTGTGTGTGAGGTAGGTATAATATGTGTATGCTGTGTGTGTGGTATAGATGGGTTAAGTGTGTGGGTTTTGTGAGGTGGGCACAGTACATATGTGATGCATGGTGCATATGGGTTAAGTGTGCCTGGTGTGTGAGGTGGGTATGATATGTGTGTTGTGTGTGGTGTGCATGGGGTACGTGTGTGGTGTATATGAGGTGGACATGGTATGAATGTAGGGTGAGGTGGGTATGCTATGTGTGTTGTGTGTGGTGTGTATGGGGTATGTGTGTGGTGTGTGAGGTGGGCATGGTATGTGTGTAATATGTGTGCGCTGCATATGGGTTAAGTGTGTGGGGTGTGTGAGGTGGGCGTGGCATATATGTAGTGTGTGGTGCGTGAGTTGGGTAGATATGTGTGTTGTGTGTGGCATGTATGGGGTATGTGTGTGGTGTGTGTGAGGTGGGCATGGTGTGTGTGAGGTACATGTACATATGCGCACACATGCATACCTGTGCACTGCAGAAGACAGGCAGGCCAGCAGCCCGGGACATGCAGCAGTGACAGCTCAGCCAAGGCAGGGCTCTGGGTGGGAGTGGCCAGGCCCCTGGCAGCTCAGGATCCTGGATGCACTAAGAGCCTAAGAGGAGAGAACAAGCTGTGTCACTATCTCCATACAAGTTCATCACTAACATGAACCCATAAGCTGCACCAAAACTGTTCCACTTCTGATTAGAACTAGAAACAATCCAGATGGGCTCAGCACAGCCAAGAGTGGGGGAACTGTCCTCAGTGTTCTCCTTTACCATCTGCGGACAGATATACCACCAGCTGTCTTGCCAGGCAGTGCCTGCCTTGGGGAAGGGGCCCGGCCCAGGGGCAGGTCCCTGCCGTGTCCCCAGCCCTGCGCCTGCAGCCCAGGGGAAATGGGGTGTGGGGACTTTGAAAAGTTTTTCCCTCTGGGTCTTATTATAAAGGGAAAGGGAAGGGGGCAAAGATCCGGGCTCGGGATCTCTGGGGACAGCTAACCCAGAGGTGACCCATCCCAGTTGCCACCTGGCACCGGGACTTGATGCCAGCGCAAGCGAGTACGGGGGAACGCACCAGCAGCCCACCCAGCCCGGTGGCGGGACCCCAGTGCCCCTCCACCCCCAGCCAGCGCCTCTCGCCGGCGCCTGGTGGCCATTGGCTGCAAGATCCCCCCCTCGACCCAACCCGGGGATGCGAGAGCCGCAGCTTAGTGCCCGCTGCACCCACCCACCGGCCGTGGGAGAGAGAAGTGGCCGGCAGGATAGGAATGGGCCGTTGGGCTGAAACCCAGATCCCAGCAACAGCCTCCCCGCAGCCCAGCCGAGTCCACAGGGCAGCGCTCGGGAGCACTGGGGCCGCAACCTCCGGCCGCTCCCCACGCATCAGTGTCCCTGCAGCCCAGCTGGAGGCCCCAGGTTGCCACCGCCAGCGAGTCAGGCAGCCCGGGCCCTCCAGCTTACCTGGCCAAGGCTAGGGGCTGCTTCAGCTCGCTACCGTCCCAGCCCCGCCGCCACCCGCTAGGCTGCGAAGCCGGGCTCCTCAGCGAGCCCGCGCCCAGCCACACGCACCCAACCCGGCGCCTGAGGCCGAGGGGCAACAGGGTGTCGGATTTTTAATTGAGAAGGTTTTCCCTCTGGGCCTTACTATAAAAGGAAAGGGAAATGGGACAAGATCCAGACTCGGGTTCTCCGGCCACGGAACGCACCAGCGGCCCGGCCAGCCTGGTGGGACCGGAGCGGGTGCCCTCCCTCCCGCACCACTACCCCCCACCCTCACCCCCCACCAGACGGCGCCTGCAGCCGCAGCCAAGTGGCCCGTCGCTGCAGTGCCCCCGCCCCGCGCGCGATGCGACAGCCACTGCCTTGTCTCCGCTGCACCTGCCTGTGGGTCTTGGGAGGAGGAAGGGGGCATAGGAGAGGAGTGGGGCCGCCGGGCTGCACCCCCAGATCCCAGCAACAGCCGTCCGGCGACCCTGTGGAGTCCAGAGGGCAGCGCTCCGAGCACAAGGGCAGCCACCTGCGCGCGTCCCCCACTCGCCCCGGTCCCTGAGGCGCCCCGCGACGCCGCAGGCTGCCACCAGCTAGTCAGGCAGCCTGGGTCCCGCAGCTTACCTGGCCAGGGCGCGGGGCTGCTACAGCGCGCTACCGTCCCACCGAGTCGCGGCCCGCTCCGTCAGCTACGCCAGCTCCTCAGCCAGCCCGCGCCGAGCCGCACGCGGTTTCGGCACCGGAGTAGCCGCTGGGCGCGTCCTGGAAGCGGCGTACGGCAAGTGCGCAAGGCCACCTTTATCGAGCGCATGCGCACTCACCTGAGCCTGCGGGACACGGGTCCCCAACCACTCACTTCGCCTTAGCCTCTTTTGGATTACTGGGGCGGGAAACGCTTCCCAGCGACATAACGCGGCGGGAAGAGATGGAATGCAAAGATGCGTCGGAGCCTGGCTTGCACGAGGCCCTGGCCCCCTGTCCTCCTGGGACAGTAGTCAGGGCGAGCGTGTGCACCCGGACCCAAGGGCGCCCCCTGGGACGGTAGTCAGGGCGAGCGGGTGCACCCAGGGACCCAGGTGATCTCCCGGACTGGGGCTGGAGCTCAGACACTAGAAGGCAGGGCGCCCCCGAATGCTCCGGGTCCTGGGGAGGACTCAGATTCCCGAGGAAAGTCCTGGCCCTGCTGGCTGGGGAGCTTCAGGGATCTGGTCCCACGGGTAGAGCCGTTGAACACGAGACTCCCACCGTGCCACCGGCCGCCTCACCGCGCCCTACTCACTCGACCCCCTCCCCCCACCACCGCAATTACAGGAGGCGACCCTAAAGCAAGGAACCCTCGGGGATCGCAGCCTCAGAAAACCCCATCTGGCAGGAGAGGTCCCCTGCTTCCTCCCCACCGCAGCTCCCCTAGGCACATGCAAGACTCCAAGTCTTCCCTACAAGTTCCCTCTAACCACCCCATCACCCCGTTTCCCATACCTGTACTGCCTAGGGGCTCACTCCAGGCCATTCTTTCCTTGCTGTCCTGAATGGAGAGGACCCTGACCTCTGAGGGGCCCTGGGGAGCACACAAGCACATCCCCAGGGGAGACAGTCTTCCACCCCCACAGAGCGAGAGATTCCCTGGGGGCTCTGGAAGGTGGTGCTGGAGACTCCGGTGTCACCTTTGCCCTCTGGCCCTTTCGCCGAGTCCCAAGTAGATGTGGTAAGCCGTGGGAGACGCACAGGGTGCCTTGTCTGGGCAGAGCGGGGCTCAGCTGCCTCCCTCCCTGAGTGATTCCCTCTTTTTTCCTTGTGGCTGGATTAGGTGAAGCTGTGTCCCAAGTCGGGGGGTAAAGAAGGACAGGGGACCTAGGGGGTGAGGAGAGCCCATCTTCCTGCTGCCTTGAGGGCCCGAGCTGAGACCCTGAGAAGAAAGGGCTGAGGGAAGCCGAATCCTGAGCTGCACTAGGGTTACATACAGTGTGGACTTGGCCCTTCCACACTCTGCCCCCACCAAACACTCACAAATCCCCAGGGGCACAGCTGTCGATGGGGCTGCTACTTGTAGGGCAGCTTTGTAGCCACAGGGCCAAAGGCAGAGCTGGGGCAGGCCAGCGAGGTTCGTGACCCCCTCCCCCGATCAGGTGAGCATACCTTCACTGCTTACTTTCCACCTTACTTTCCTTTCTGCTTACCGGGGCCAAAACAAAGTTCATCCAGCCTCCTGTGGCCCAGCCTTTCATCCAATGCCAGCGGTGGGAAGCAACAAAGAAGCAATGATTCCAAGCAGATAAATTCAGTCATCTTCTTGCCTGATCATTATGTGGTCACATCCCATAGGAAATCAGACTGCTGTGACTGAAGCTGATCCACACAACCCCCCTACCTCCTCAAACCCCCACCCCCATCTGTGTGAACGAGTGCAGGCAGGCAAGTTGCATGCTGTTCCTTCAGCTGCCTCCCTTGAGATCTTCCTGTGGGAAGGCTGTGGGCCAGTCAGTGGAAATTAAACCCCATCCCAGCACCCAGGAGTGAGTGGCTGGTGTCCACAGTTCACAGGATGAAAAGTACAGGAACAATGGCTCCCACCTGTAATCCCAATGCTTTGGAAGCTGAAGCAGAAGGCTCACTTGAGCCCAGCAGTTCAAGTCTGTAGTGAGCTATGATCATGTCACTTGTACTACAGCCTTGGTGGCAGACCCTATCGCTTTAAAAAGTGAAAATTAAATAAATTTAAAAATAAAGGTACAGGCCTGCCCCCCAGCCTCACGCAGGACCCAAATCTGGTGGGCTTGAACCAAGTGCCATTATTCAGAGAATTTTTAAAAAATCATTAGGACAAATAGCTAATGCATGCGGGACTTAAAACCTAGATGACAGGTTGATAGGTGCAGCAAACCACCATGGCACATATATCCCCCAGGTAACAAAGCTACATGTTCTGTACTTGTATCCAGGAACTTAAAGAAAAAAAAAAAAAAAATCAGGCTGGGCAAGGTGGCTGTAATCCCAGCACTTTGGGAGGCCGAGGCAGGCAGATCACAAGATCAGGAATTCCAGACCAACCTGGCCAACATGGTGAAACCCTGTCTCTAATAAAATACAAAAATTAGCCAGACATGGTGGCAGGTGCCTGTAATCCCAGCTACTCAGAAGCTGAGGAAAGAGAACTGCTTGAACCCGGGAGGTGGAGGTTGTAGTGAGCTGGGTTCACACCACTGCACTCGGACCTGGGCAGCAGAGTGAGACACAACCTTGGGGGAAAAAAAGCCGGAGGATACAAGATGGTTGCTTCCTGTCTTTCTTGCTCTTTGCCATGTGAGGATACAAGAAGATGGCCCTCTGTGAACCAGGAGGTGGGCCCTCCCCAAGAACCAACCATGCTGACACCCTGATCTTGGCCATCTAGCCTCCAGAACTGGGAGAAATCAGGGTTTGTTGTTTAAGCCACCCAGGCTTAGTCTTAGTTTGTTAGAGCAGCCCAAGCTAAGACACTGCCTCAATCATAATAATATCCCCCTACATTTCCATCTAAATGCTTTCAAGGTTTTGTTTTGTTTTTTTGAGACAGAGTCACACTCTGTTACCCAGGCTGCAGTGCAGTGGCACGATCTTGGCTCACTGCAACCTCCGTTCCCGGCTTCAAGAGATTCTCCCACCTCACCCTCCCGAGTAGCTGGGACTACAGGCACGCACCACTATGCCTGGCTAATTTTTGAATTTTTAGTAGAGGTGGGGTTTCACCATATTGGCCAGGTTGTTCTCAACTACTGACCACGTGATCCGCCCACCTCTGCCTCCCAAAGTGCTAGGATTACAGGCGTGAGCCACTGCGCCCAGCCCGCTTTCAGTTTTGCCTTTCACAACTAGATCTTTAATCAATTGGCTTTTATTTTCGATATGATGCAAACGATCTAGTTGTATTTACTTTGCATATGGATAATCAATTGTGTAAACACTATTTGTAGAATATTCCGTCCTTTCCCCAGTAATCTACAAGGCAACTTCTGTCTCATTTGAAGTTTCCATATGTCATGGGTCTTTTGCTGGGTTCCTCTTCTCTTCCAGTGGCTGATTTATGCATCCCCTGAACACTTCACTGTCCTAATTCCTTTGCCATCATAGTATGCACACAAATCGTCAACCTTTCATTACCCACCGACCTCTATGCCACTCTTATTCTTTGAAAATATCTTCATTTAAGTTCTGCTAGAAGCAGAGCCTGAGTCAAGAATTCAGGTACAAGCATTGGTTAAGAAGAAGCACAGGTAAGAGGGTGGGAAGTGAGATAGGGAAGGGAAGAAAGCCAATAGATGGTGCATTTATAAGCAGGTTGCCACAAAGCGTAACTGGGGCTCAATCTCACTAGGCCCTTCAAAGATACTGCAGCTGAGGGGAGGGGAAGCTGCCATATTTATCCACCAACTCCCATTCCTCATGGATGTTTTAAAATGGACCCAAGATTTACTTTAATCAGATATACTAAGACACACAGATATGGAAATGACTGTCCCGAAGGAAGGAGTTTTTCATACTCAGAGGGCCCTAGAAACAAGTGCCATGGCATGCTATGAGGGATACATGGGGAGGCACCAGGGTCAGTCAAGAACTCAAAGGAGCTAGGGGAAAACATGGGCAAGAGATTTATTTATGGCATCCAATGGAAGGGCAAGGCAAGGCAGGGTAAGCAGGCACAGGATTAGCTATGAATAGTTTGAATAATTTCACTCAGCTCTGGGGCATAGGGCTGTCCCTAGTTGTCTGGTTCATGGCCCTGGGGTGATGAGGGCAGATGGACAGTGGCCCAGTGTAAGAGCCCAATGAAGGAGGTGGTTGGGGGTATGGGCTTTGGATTGGCTGGCTTGCAGATCGAAGGTGCACTTGCAGGTGAGTCCTTTACTGCCTCTAGGAACTGGCTTGCCCTGGGTGGAGCAGTCTCTTCAGGATCAGCAAGGCCTCGGGTGTCAGGACATCAGGAAATACAGGAAATGAAAAGGCATGATGAATACAGTGAGGGTGCTCTCAAAGGCATCAGCCCCTGGCATCATGTATGTGGCTGGCAATGCCGAGGGCCATGGGGATGGCACCAACAGTGTCTGCTACACTATTTTTTTTTTTAGACGAAGTCTTGCTCTGTCACCCAGGGTGTAGTGCATTGGCAGGATCTTGGCTCACAGCATCCTCCACCACCCGGGTTCAAGCAATTCTCCTGCCTCAGCCTCCCGAGTAGCTCTGACTACAGGCGTGTGCCATCACACCCGACCAATTTTTTTGTATTTTAGTGGCGACAAGTTTTCACCATGTTGGCCAGGATGGTCTTGATCTCCTCACCTCGTGATCCACCGTTCTCAGCCTCCCAAAGGGCTTGGATTACAGGTGTGCTGAGCCACCGTGCCAGGCTCACTACCCCCTCCACCTCCCAGGTTTGAGCAATTCTCCTGCCTCAGCCTTTCAGGTAGCAGGGACTACAGGAACACACCACCACGCCCGGCTAATTTTTGTATTTTTTGTAGAGATGGGATTTCACCACATTGGTCAGGCTGGTCTCAAACTGCTGACCTCAGGTGATGGCCCACCTCGGCCTCTCAAAGTGTTGGGATTACAGGCGTGAGCCACCGAGCCCAGCCAGCTACACTATTCTTGGCCCCTCAATGACTACATGAATTTTCAGATCAGCCTGTCAAGTTCCAAA